CAGGTCGCACACCAGTGCCAAAAGCTTCCAGCTCCGTATGTTTGAAGTGGCTTCAGATCAGATTCCTAATCGTTACTCTCTTGGTAACAAGTAAATGCAAAACTTAGTTTCAAACATAATTTTTATAAATTAAAATGTACTTTAATAAAAAGAAGGCAAAGGATCAACAGATGATGGTGATGCATAACCAATTTGGATGCATTTTTGTTGTTCCAGTTGAAGCTGAGAATCTAGAGTGTGTACTTCTAATTGTTTAAGCAAATATCCATATCAAATTAAACTGAACTCATAAAAGGGGCTAGTGGGGGCCGAAACTCAGAGAGGCCACTGGGGCGTATGATTGATATTTATTTTTTCAACAAACACCAGCGCACCTGTGTGAAAATTGAAATTCTCATGGCGCCGGCAACAATAAAAAAGGTAAGGCGGAGCAGACCGCACATAAGGAAATGTGTGAAGTTTGCGCAAATACCACAAATGTTGCCAGGCACGCGCTCAGATCTTGAAAATCCACGCACACATGGGCAGAGAAAGAAAGCAGAGTGAAAGCAAAGAACCGAAAGAAAAGAAAGGAAAAGCATCCAGGGGGTCGAAAGGATGGGTCGCACATCAGAGCGATTTCGTGCTGCCTACTTGTAAAGGGAAATTTGCATCCGCAATCACTTTAAATGTTTCCGTTTGAATACGCAAATAAATCGAAAAGGATTTCCAATGAATGCTTATGAGTGTCCTGGCAAACCCTTGTTAAGGTTGTTGTTTACAACAAGTGTACATGTCTAAATCCCAGAAAAGCGGAGCTCCAGAGCGCCAGAAAAATGCCATAAAACTGCGAAGCGGCTGCCAAACTGTCAGGATTGCGTCCGAGCTCCGGCCACAAGTGCTCCTCCATCCGTCCGGGCTGCGGCCAGTCTGGCTCGTGTGGAAGTACGCATTTGGCCCAGAGTGCCAGCTGAGCCATAAATAAATATGAGCCACTGTTGGCAGACAACAACAGCCCAACTACGTTGACGATATGTTGATAAACTTTAACACCCCACAAACACTCGCATAAACCCGGTCAAGTGCCCAGAGTGGTGCAACTGCCGGGATTCCTGCTCGTCCAAGGACCTCCGGCTACCGCTACGGCTCCTGCTCCCGATCCTGCTCCAGCTGACCCACAACAATTGTGCAGGAGTGCCGCTGCCTGGCCATATGCACCGTGTTTGCATTCCCATTCGGGACGAAAGTCCTTTCGCAACATGGCCACTATGCAGGACTATTTTGTGTGGCTTTGCTGCGAAAGCGCAAGTATCTAGTGAGGAATCCTTGCTGGCTGTCCAGCACTGCGAAAAAATTTGTCAGGTATTAGTTGTTACATTGTGACGAAATTTTCTCATTTCTAATGTTTTTTATAATATCATAACTATATATAAACTCAAATGCAAGCTTATCAAACTTAACCTTTTACTTCCATCCAAATCCGAAATCTTTAAAGAGTTTTCAAGCGGATTGATATTTCGAATATTTTCGAATATGCTAAAGATTTCCAAGATGTTTTCCAAGTGCAGCATTTCGGAGTCGCCCCAGTTGCACAATTTTTGGCTGCCGCTGCACTCGCATCCGAAAGTGGGGATCGACTTGCAATGGGATGGTTGGATGCGGGGCTACAGGCTCCTCGGTTGCGGGTGGTTGCGCCTAAGCGATTTCGCTTTTTGTCTGTTTTGTGTCAATTTTGGAATCCGCTTTGGCCACCAGCCCCCCGCCCCCCGCCCCCGGCGCGTTGTCTCGGAAAAGCTTTCGGTTGCGCCAATTGTTGGCATTTACAGCTACTTGGCTGGTGGGCCCTTGACTTGGCCCGAGATACCCCGGGAACTGCTTTGTGTAGCGGCTCAGATGTGCAGCTCAAGTGGCGCACTGGGGATTTTTCAATTGCGTTTATAATAAATTTCGATTTGTCAGCGGCGGAACGAGGAAGCGGCTGCAAGTGGCCGCCGCATCCCAAGTGCCACCGAAATCAGTCAGCGATATAGCCTCAGATACAAGCGCAAAGCGAGGACAGTTCGATTCCCGAAGCTGGAGTAGAATGGTTCGCCTAAGAGCGGGATAATCAAGTGCATTCTGGTAATCTAGACCCTTTGAAATACTATATTGGATCCCAGCACTATAGAAATATATAGCCTAGAAAATAGCCAGCGTTTCTGCAGCCCCAAAAGTATGCCTCAAGTTTGTTACAAGTCAGATGATCTCTTTAAACGTCATCCCTGCCATAGGCTTTAAAAAATCCACGAATCAAAACCAGTTTAATTTAATTAGACACAAACTGATGCTGACAATGAAAAGACAAACTGGATCGGTCTTGGGCGGATATTGGCCCGCGTAGCCGGTGCAATAAAATGCTAAAAGCAGCGTGTATCTTAGAAACCGTTTAAGCGTACAAATGTGAAGCTAGTTTGGCGCCAGACAAGCGGCAAATAATTTTATTCGAAAATGAAGGTAAACAAAGGGCACAAGCTACATTTGTGTGTCGATTAAATGACAATAAAGCTAATTAATGGTGGAATTTGAACTGATTTGAAAAGGGTTGTGAACTAAAGGTGGTCACTTCCTCACACAATGGCGGTGGCATGCGTGGGCGTGGGAGTCACATTGGCCGTCTCATGGGTCTGGGCAGGAGTATAGGTGGTGGCTGGGGCCGGATCGTGGGTCTGGGCAGGAGTATAGGGCGTGGCCGTCTCATGGGTCTGGGCGGGCGTGTAGGAGGCGGCCGTCTGATCTGGTTCCTTGTCCAGGATCACCTTCTTCAGGATGAAGTACAGGGCGCCGCCAATCACGAGCTCACCCACCGCCACACACACGATGAGAGCCCATCCGGGAATGGCAAGGCCAGCTGCAAGAAACGAGGCGGATGAGCAATGCTCCCAAACTGGATCACGTATACGCCATCACTTACTGAAGTATCTGCGGGTAAGCGTGCGGCGGCCGCGGTTCACACGGCGCGTGGCCTCCGATTCCTGCAGGCAGCAGGCCAGCAGCACTGCAAAGTAGAGTAGAAAATTGGAATTAAATGTTTGTAAGACAGGGGGGCACTCGAGTAGCAAAACACAAATCAGCACATTTTTTCAGTGATCACGCGGCGTGTGGTCGAAGGTGGCCCACTACGATTGCGGCATTGGCTTTGAAGCATCCATCAAACCAAGCCAAACGGAACTCATTGAAATAGCAGCAAGACCATTCATCATGTAGATCTTCCAACGCGCGAAGACTTGTTAATATATTAACAATCAATCGCTGAGAAAATGCTTAACACAGCCGAGCCAAAATGAAATAAAACGCTGATTCTGATTGAGCCAAAATCGCGCGCGCGCCAACTTCGATGATAAATGTGTGCTGCCGTGCTCCTTCCCCATTGTTTCATTGCGGATGTCAAACTCGATTTCAGGTAAAATGATCAAAATGTATTTTAAATCAATAATATTTTGTGTGTGTGCTCGTTCGTCTGTTTGTTTTGGTTCAGCTCATTCGGCATATCTAGCGCATGAAATATTAAGTGGATTTGTTTGTCGATATGGAAAGCGCGTATGGATTTCCCATCAACTCGATTAGGCGGTGATTCATGGAGACGGGCATTGGTCAAAACCCATTCGCCAAATGTATGTGGCTGAGAGTGGGACCGATTTTCGATGGCCAGCCGCTAACCAATATTAATTGTGCTCATCCACTTTTTCTTTAACATATTTCATAATTCATATGCGAAATAATTACCGAGCTTTTGCCACTTCCGGTTTTAGGGTATTGGACATTTGGCCTAATAAAAATTGCATGAAATCAATGCAAAATGATTTCGCATTTACTCCCTGTCAGCTGAATCATTTGTTTCATTTGGGAAACCCTTGGATCCGAAAAGATTTCGCGCTAAGCTCGCTGATTCACCACGCCCTTAAGTGGAGACACACCAAGTGATGGGGCAACAATGAGTAAACAGTGCTTATCTGAATCGCACTGATAAGCGCACATTTTTGTAGAGTTTTTTTGTGGCCCAGTTACTCATTGCTAGTCACCAATTGCTGAAGTTGGGTGATTAAAGCCCCACACCTATGGGCTCATACGATGCACCAGCGCCTCAAAATGCGGCACAGTCTCACACATGCACAATGCTCCGTCCTCACACTTGCACCAAAAAGTATCTCGCAGATGTGCTGCGTATCTCTGGTTGGCACTCAAAACTCGGCAGATTCGAACGAGCATGCAGAACTTTACCCAGGCATATCAGCAAGTAGGTGGAGCACTTCTTAGCCAACTTCATTTCCGTCGTTTTCGTCCGTACGTTTGAAAAACTTATGTTCGCTTTTAGCTGTTAGCCAAGTTTGTAACGCGCACGTCGTCGACTCCAAAGTGGAACTAAAAACCTGTGCGTGATTGCATCCGTCGGCAGGTGGTAGTATCTTATCGCAAAGCACCTTATCTTCATTGATAAGATTAGATGGCTCTCTTTTTCTCTCGATGTGTATTACTTCTGAGGTCATCAGCACTGAAAATAATAGTTTTAAGTGCCAACCACATAATGTTAAAGTATTCAGCCAGGTTAAATGTCTTCTATATTTATAAACCCAACATGTTAAGTCCAATCTGCACATTTTGTATATATTCTAATACTCACTTTAGCATATTTTAAAATAAAAGTTGTCCGATCTCCTAAAACTTGTTTGTTTATTTACAGTTCTTTAAAGAAGAATACGCGTTTGTTCTATTTATCGCCCATTTTAACCAATATTTTTATGAAGTCTTCTCACCATCTATACTAAAAGCCTTTGTTGCCCACTGCTTTGACTTTATAAGCTGGATGCCAATCCTAGGCATCTTGTGTAGCAAGATACTATTGTTTATATTTAAAAGATAAAAAAATGTGTATGATTTCAGACTGGTATACTCAAATGGTATTATCATTTGGAACGCTCAACATTTTTCTTTTAAGAAATGGAAATAGTTGAGGATTTTTGTTTTAAAAATGTTTATTATTGTTAGTTCGGGTTTGTACTCGGGTTGTTCATAATGGATGGAAATTGACTAATGCGCTCAACTTATTGTTAGTTTCACTCTGAGACTTTCAAAGTCAAGACTTCTTCTGGAAAAGCATCCTCGATAATCTCAAATGCTGCGGTGGGAGTTGGCACAGTCGGCGGCTTAGTGGCGACGGAGCTTCAGACGGCGGACGGTCTTGTAGCGGTAGCCATCGCTGGCCAGGACGGTCTGCTCGGCGGGCACATCAATGATGGCAGAGGCGGCCTCCTCCACGGGGGGCAGGTACTCGCCGGAAGGCAGCTCAGAGACATCACGACGACGACGGATGACACGACGCACGGTCTTGTAGCGGTATCCATCATCAGCCAGGGGAGTCTCCACAGCAACAGCCTCGGAGGCGGACTCCTCAACAGGGGGCAGGTACTCAGGGGACAGCTCGGAAACATCACGACGACGACGGATCACACGGCGGACGGTCTTGTAGCGGTATCCATCATCAGCCAGGGGAGTCTCCACAGCAACAGCCTCGGAGGCGGACTCCTCAACAGGGGGCAGGTACTCAGGGGACAGCTCGGAAACATCACGACGACGACGGATCACACGGCGGACGGTCTTGTAACGGTAGCCATCATCAGCAAGAGGGGTCTCCACAGCAATAGCTTGAGATGCGGATTCCTCAACAGGGGGCAGGTATTCGGAGGAGAGCTCGGAGACATCACGACGACGACGGATCACACGACGGACAGTCTTGTAACGGTAGCCATCATCAGCCAGAGGAGTCTCGACGGCAAAAGCTTCGGAGGCGGACTCCTCCACGGGGGGCAGGTATTCTCCGGAGGGGAGCTCATTGACATCACGACGACGACGGATCACACGACGGACAGTCTTGTAACGGTATCCATCATCAGCCAGAGGAGTCTCGACGGCAAAAGCTTCGGAGGCGGACTCCTCCACGGGGGGCAGGTATTCTCCGGAGGGGAGCTCATTGACATCACGACGACGACGGATCACCCGACGGACGGTCTTGTAACGGTATCCATCAGCAGCCAGGGGAGTCTCGACGGCAAAAGCCTCGGAGGCGGCCTCCTCCACTGGGGGCAGGTATTCACCGGAGGGGAGCTCATTGACATCACGACGGTGGCGCAACTTCAGGCGGCGCACGGTCTTGTAGCGGTAGCCATCGTCAGCCAGGGGAGTCTCGACGGCAACAGCCTCGGAGGCGGACTCCTCCACGGGGGGCAGGTATTCACCGGAGGGGAGCTCGTTCACATCACGACGGTGGCGCAACTTCAGGCGGCGCACGGTCTTGTAGCGGTATCCATCGTCGGAGAGAACTCCCTGCTCGGCGGGCAGCTCCACGAGATCGGAGGCAGATTCGAGGTTGTTGTCCACTGGCGGCAGGTAATCCGTGGCAATGGAGGCCGCCGAGGCAGCTGCGATCACAGCAAAGGCAATAACAAAGAATTTCTGCAAGGCAATAAGCGAATGGGGATATGGGTTAGTCCTGGTCGCAGGAGTGCCGGACTGCCGGGCTGCGGAGAACTAACCATTTTTCCAGGAGATCCAAGACGATGTCTGCTAGATTAATCCAAAGTTGATTCTGTTTCCAAACCAGACCCAACGACACTATTTATACACAAACTGCGCGAAAAGTTCTCGGCTGGCCGATGTCCATTCACTTTGCGAGATCAGATGAAATGAGATGAGCTACGATGATGGCAGAGGAAACCGGTTAACAAGCGGCGTACTACCGCATCGATCGATGGCTTCTTTTCTGGGGCCGATCTCAGATTCGGATTGTCTAGTTGCTATTGTCAAAAAGTGTCTCAAGCATCAATTGAACTCAGCCTGGCCATAAAAGATGATTAGCGCGTTCAGCTGCCAGAAGACAAAACGAAAGTAAACAAAGACGAGCCAGCGAAGTCCGCAGATTTGTAGATATTTTAGATTTGTAGCTTCGTAGGCAGATGGAACAATGGTCGAGGGCTCTTTGATTGTCTCGATTATTTGCATCGATTTATGTCTGCCACATGCCTGAATAGATCGGATACATTTGTGACAATCCATTACCATTGGTAATTGCAAGCGGAAGTCGCCGCTTTTCAATGTATTTTTGGAGGTTCTTGCCTCTCGGATCTCGATGAGCGCTTAAGGCCAAGATCGGCCGAAAGTATTTATACGCCACCTCGATTGATACGCGCTCGATGGTCCATCGAGTGCCGAGTGTGGAGTGTGGAGTGTTGCTATTTTTGGTTTTTGCTCGCCACGCTCCATTAGGCGGCTATTAATAGAGGCATGATTTAAGAGATCGCCGCAACTTTTCCAATTTTTAAATTATGTTTTTAAGTGGAAATGGCGTAGATGCTCCAATTGAGCGGCAGGCGAGCCATAAATCTGCGGATAAGCCGAATGGATTGGCAATCTCCCACTCACAGCGGTCGATAGCTCGGAGGAATAGCAATCCGCTCGGGCGATGGGAATGTTTGATGGAGCACCACTTGAGGATGGCAATGGCATTGGTGGTGGGGCTGCCTGTCGAAAAGCGTTCGATCCGTAGATGGGTTATAAGAATAGAATGGAATGTGCTTTTTATAATGCTGAAGCGTGTTCGATTGGTTTACGTTAACTCATTCGTGTATTACATCCTGTTGAGCGCTCTGTTGTGTGTAAATGCTTGTAATTTGGATTTAAACTGCGCACGTAACGCCGAAATTTTTCTTTCATTAACTTTATTTCCTGGTCTCGCGAATCGGCGGAAAAAAACGCTCTTAATTTCAAATATATACACACAGCCCTTCGTGGGGCTTTATGCTCTCGTTTATTCATTTGTAAATGGTGCACATAAAAAATATATCCAGCCAGACTGTATACTACTGTGCATATTTAATTTGTATCTGGCAATCAGCTTTCTTTCTTTCATCATCATCATCATCATCATCAAAATGACGCTGCCCCTCCATCTTGCCACCTTGCCCCCGGTGAATGCGGAAGGAGGGCGCCCAACAAAACAAACAGGACAGTTCGCTTTCGGGGCTTCCTGGACTGCGTAATCAAACGGAACAAAATCAAAATACATATCTGCATATGGATGGGACGGCAGGCGGCCCTTTGCGCCATCGAAAAAGACATAAACAGGCACAGATCCGGAATCGCCACCTGCTCCATGGCCACTTGCAATCCCAATCAGTCGTCCAGTTGGCACAGACAGGCCGTGCCACGATTAATCCAATGCATGGGTTTCCGGGAGCACCTCAGCTGCAGGTACATCACGAAATTGGTCGAATGGCCAGTGGTGGACAGGACGCCCCTCCGCTCGCTGGTCTTGTAAACCGGACAGTCGTAGATGGTCTCCGGCTCGCCGCCGGCTGTGGAGCGGGGTAGATCCTCCAGGGCTTTCAGCACGGGTCGCAGGTAGATAACGGGCAGTGTGTCGAACAGGACCTTCGAGAAGGACTCGTCCACCTCCTTGGTCTTGCGATTCCAGCGGGCGCCCTCGATGAAGATGCCCTACATTCGAAGCATAGATTTGTCAGTAAAAGCCATCACTAATGCCATTTTCATTAACCAAGAAATGTAATTATTCTTTCTATAGCATAATGCCAAACTATTTTTAGCTACATTGCGGGAAACGAATATATTAGAAATAGTCTTACTTGAATAAACTTGGTCTCATCATTGACCTCTTTTTGTTCCTGTTGCGTGTGTGGGAATGTTTTAGATTATAAACTCGTTCTATATGTGTTCTAGTCGGGTGTTCTATTTGGGTCCGCATAATAAGTTGACTCACCCGGATGTAGGCTCCTATGTCGGGAGTTCCAGGGACTTGTACCTCGAACTTGGTCACCGCGAACTCGATCAAGATCATGTCGATTTGGAAGCGGTTCTTGCGCGAGTAGTTCTGCAGAACGCCTGTGATGAAGGACTGGGTGAAGTAGAAGCCAGATATCCAATAAACCATCGGCTCGCCGTTGTCTATCCAATCCTGAAAGAAGGCCAGCCTGCGAGTGGACACGAGTTATCATATTTTTCAATTTATTAATAAATATTAAACATGCGACAACAATGGAAATGGGCGATTGGCAAATGCGGCCATGGGAATGGGGTGCACACAAAGCGTTGGACAGAATCAGGAGCAGAAGCAGGAGCGGGAGCAGGAGCACACAAACAGCATCGTCCTTTGATGTCAAAAGCAAATAAGATTTTTGCCATGAATGGCAGTGGCAGTGGCAGTGGCAGTGGCAACCACAGGAGGAAGAGCATCGGATGTGTGTGCCGTATACATTTATTATATTTGCACAATTGAGGCAAAGAACGAATGGAACGAACAGAACTTCGAGCAGGGCGCACGCGGCGCATTACTGGCAACTCAGCTCAATACAATGCCATTGAGGGCTGTCCGAACGTCTGGAAATACTGCTAAAAAGAACTATTCCTAACCGGAAGAAATATATATACTGAAATATATATACTGGGCCAACAAATTGTACTATAAGAAATAGAAGGCTGCCAGAAATATAGAAAATTTCCAAAGTGAATGGTTTTTTTTTTTCAGTGCCCTGAGCCTGGCTGCATGAAATGGCTGGATAGCTGGAGAACTAGGAAACTCACCGGGCCAGAAGGTCGCTCACGTAGCTGCCCAATGGCTTAAGCGACGGATAGCTTTTCTTCAGCCAGTCCGCCGGCAGCTTGCCAATGACCATCGAGGCGTGCGTTCGCTCCAGTTCGGGAATCATGGCAATCTGACCCACCACGGCCTTGCCCACGTTGATCAGACTCTTCCGGATGTATGAGAGCAGGCGATTGAAGCGGATGAGCTCCTGGCGCAGCACGGTGTTCATCGAATTGGTATAGATCACGGGATACTTCTTGGATACCTCGTCAATGTCGAACTCGTCCGGCAGCTGCCTCAAGACCTCCTTGCAGATGGCTATGGCCGGGTCCGCCTTGGCGCCGCCAGAGGAACTGGCCTTCACGGAGGCCATCAAATCGGTCTGGGTCAGCAAAACGCCGCTGATGAGCTGTTAAGAAAATGGAATGGTATTTTTGGCAACATTATTTCTTAGGTTGACCTACGGCATTGGTTTCCTTAACGTTTCGGTTAATGTCCGCATTTTCGTGCAGTCCGTAGACCTCGGGTTGCGGACTCAGCGGGAAACTGGACACATACTCTATGGAATTCAAGCGCGTGGGACTCATGGGCACCCGATAGTTTCCGGATTGAGACAGGGCATAGCTGGATAAATAAACATGTTAGCATTGCTCGGCTTATGTTGAGTTCGTTAACGCACTTATCCTCTTCGATGGTATTGGGATTATATATCATGTTCAGCAGAGATAGAATCAGACGACGATCCTTGTCGTCAGTGACTCGACCTCCATAGTTGCACTCTCCAGTCAAATATACATGGCCGCGGAAGGGAATGCTCTGGCTTTGGTTGATGAACATCTTCAACTGCAACAGGGAAATTCTGCAAGGATTTACATTTATGAAAATAACAATATTTTTGTAACACAATTACAGAAAATGACTCACTTCAAATCGGACTCGTTGAACTCGTAGGGAATGTTCCAGCCCAACGGCCCAAACTCTCGTCTTTCCTGGACGACGGCGTGGAAGAAGACCAGAGCAAAGACGCCCCTCAGCCAGCACTTGTTGGCGCTGTCCGAGAAAAGGAAGGCATTGGTGAAGAACTTATCCCGCATCAGCGGATCCGAGGTGAAGGAGCGATGCATGTTAGCCCTGAGCCCCTTGGGCGGTTCGTTAGTCATCTTCACGGAGTTCTGCAGCACGGAGACGGGGAAGACGGCGCTGGGATAGGAGGTGCACCACAGCCGATAGTCGTGGTTGGCTCCATCCGTCAGGGTGGTATCATTGCAAATCCTCTCCAGGTCGCCCATCCAGCTGATGGCGACGTGACAGTTCTGCAGCACCACCCACTGGCCATGTCGGGCGGCCTCCATAATCATCTTCTCCGCTCGCGGACCCTGTCCCTGACCCAGTGAGATGGTCTTCAATCTGTTTGGGACGAGATGTGCTTAGCATAAATTTCTTTAAAGAGCTGGATGAGGCACAGATGGGTATGCGCGGAGTCGGGGCCACATATCGACAAGGCGCACATGTCGCGCTTAATCGAAAACAAGCCACCTCCACCTGCACCTCCACCTCCACCACCAGCACCGGCAGCTTCACCATCGGCATCATCACCCACCCATGGACACGGACACGGAAATATGAGCCACTCTCGTTAATTAACTTACTTGTCGTACATGTTGCGTTGTTTGGCGAACATGAAGAGACTGGCCATGGGATCCGATCCGGCCGAGAGCAGGAACACCAGCGGAATTTTCGGCGAGCTGTCCGCGAACGAGGCAGCCAAATCGAAGGGTGGCGGCTCCACAAACGAGCGGTCCAGGTTGCGCGTAATGAAAGCCTGACAAAATCGGGGGATATTAAATGGGCACTCCGTTCCCCCAGGGGCCTTGGGCTTTCGGCTTTCGGCTACGGATGCGGCTCAACTTACCCGCACGGCTGGCACCACCTTGTCCGGACGGAGAGCCTTGATGACGATCAGGAAGTACATGTCGTTCACCGTGTTGTTCGGTGCCGGCAACTGCAGCTGGTCGGGATTGCTTGCGTCGTAGAAGTT